CCCTTCTCCTCTTTGGATTTTGGACACACACACACACACACACACACACCCAGTGTGAGTTTAGCCACCGGATCCGGGACTTGAACCATGGTCAACTACATGGGAGTCCAGCAACATAAGCATTATGCCATCTGCCAGTCCCTTCTGTGAACTTTTTTTAAGACCCCTCAGGTATGTCTGTATCTGGTAAAGTTGCCTCAAGCAGGGGCTCCATTTAAAATCTAGTTGCCTGCATTGAAATTCTTCTGCTCCCAGTTGCATGACCTGAGTAAAGTGATTTCATTTTTATTTAAGTGTTCTGTTCTATAAAATGGGGGTAATAATTGTGCCTTCTTCATCAGCTTGCTGTGAGTTATGAAGCAGTTATTTTGTGCAAAGCATTCAAACAGTGACTAGCATGAAGAAAGTGCTCAAGGAATACTAATTTTTTTTAATCCTTTTTTTTAGAGAGTTTTTTTTTGTTGTTGTTTGTTTTGTTTTGTTTTGTTTTGTTTTGTTTTGCTGTAGGACATGTGTGCTTGCCAGAAAGATGGAGAGAGACAGAGAGACAGAAAGCAAGAAATCAACCCCCATGGGGGATGGCCACACTGCAATCCGTTTCCCTTCATTCTCCTGTCCTCTTGGAATCTTGGGCACGCACGCACATGCACCCGGTGTGAGTTTAAGCCACCAGGCCTGGGACTCAAACCGTGGTCGACTACATGGGAGTCCAGCGACATAGCCATTACACCAACTGCTGATCCCGAAATACTGATTATTATTATTACTCACGTATAATATTGAAAGCATTCATACAAAGAGCATTTACTAAACTCCACAATGAGCCAGGCCCAGGCTGGACAATGGATTATACGCATATGTTAAAGGAACCGTGCATGTATTTGTTTAAACTATTCTTTTCTTTTGATTTTCCAGGGGGTATGCAGTGGAGAGACAGAGAGGGAAAAAACAAGAAAGCATCCCCCCAGTGGAGGATGGTCATACTGCAGTCCCTTCTGCTTTATTTCTCCCTCCTTTTGGGGTTTTGGGAAAGTATGCACATGCGCCCAGTTATTTCCCAAGTCCTGGACTGGAACCGCACAGTCAGCCAAGTGAGATCCAGCTGCCTTAACCACCAGATTACAGGCTAGCCCTATTCGTTTTTCAAAGATGCAGTAACTGGAGCTGGCCGTGCTATCAGCGATGCACGGCTGGCTTCCCAGCAGAGCTCTGCGGGTGGAGATCAGTCTCATTTCAAGCCCCAGAGCTGGTTGGGGTTTGGTACATCCTGGGTATGTAAGGGACATAGCCCTTAGCGATCACGGAAAGGCCAGGTCTGTTCAGGGTAGCTGGAAGGCAGTGGAACTGTTTCTTTTTTAAAATTATTATTATTATTTTATTTTTATTATTCATACATTAAATTGCTATACGCCATTTAGATTATGAAGAAGAATTAAAATTCAGAGCTCCACCCTGACCACCACGCGTGCATTTATTTTCCCTCAGCAGCTTGGCAAATGATTGATTTTGACCCAAAGGAAAATAGATAGGGCCTGGGGATCAGAATTTTCACTATCGCCGTAAGTGATTCACTCAATCCCAAAGTTTCACCTGGAGTTTTAGGAATCCAGAAGGTCTCTAATTGTATTATGAGGATCCTACATGCTATATTCTCTCTGGGTCTCTTCAGAACATTTGTGCATTGCTCATGGAGCCAAGGTATGGCCCTACCAAGGGACAAAACTCCATGGTTTGCTTGACAGTAATCAGGAGCCCAAAAAGCTTTACCTGTCCTGGAGCCAGCAGTGGCATGGTGATTAAGGCAGCTAGATTCCTACATGGCTGACCAGGGTTCAAGTCCCGGACCCAATGGCTTGAAAATTACACCGGGTGCATGTGAGTACGTGCCCCAAATCCTAAGAGAATAGAGGAGTGGGATTGTGATGTGGCTATTCCCCCAGGAGGTGATGTCTCACTTTCCCTTGTTCTGTCTCTCTTCCCCAGTGAGCACACGCTCTCTATGGCAAAGGCCTAATTAAAACAAAACAAAAAGCCTTACACTTCCTGTCTTGATTCCCAGGGCATATCTGTCCCCCAAAGCAGAAGCATTAGTAATAGAGGTGAGGTTTTATGGGTGCGCAGTGTGACAAGTACATCACGTGGTCAAGTGGGCGAACATGAGGGAGGGACGTGGACATTTTTATTTCTATTAATCACCTGTACATTCAACAAATTTGTATTATGCAATGCTGCACCCTGGGTGTTATGCTGGGGCAGATGAAAGATGAATCCAACGCAGTCCTGCCCTTAAGGACTCTCCAGCCTGTTACAATAATAAGCCCCAAAACACAGCTAGAGTACAGGAGTACAGAGAAGTGTTCCATAAAAGGAGGACAGACAGCCTTCATAGAGGAGGCTAAAGGAGAGATTGGAGTTTGAGCCCCATGTGACTGGTGGGATTTATTAACCATACCTCAATATCTGTGTCCTTGCCTTAAAAGGAACCAAAGGAATTTTTTTCTCTTGATCATATCCGATTTAGAGTTTGAGTGACCAGAATATTAGGTGCTAGTCTAGTCTAAATTTGTAATTCTCAGAATCGGCTGCGAGGAAGGACACGTGCTTCTCTGTGTTCTGAAAACAGCTCACAGAAAGGAGAAAATAGACCCGGTTAGGGATGACTTCTTGTTAGTTCCCGGAACCTTTGCCTTTATTTACAACAGCATGTTCAATGCAAGTTCTCTCAACTGAAAAGGCCTTTGGGATTTGAAAACTTTTCTGGAAATCAGTGTCTTTAAAGCTTTTTTGCCAAAATGCTAGAAAGGGAAGATGCTAGTACTGAGATCTTCACAAAGTAGAGGCGCATTGTTTTGTTTCTTTTCATGGAATGCCTCGGACCTGCCACTCCAAGTTCTGTGTATTCCTGCCAGCTTTCTGCTTGGCTATTATTTTGATAAGGGACAAGAAAGTACATCCTCCCCTCAGGGTCATTAAAGTCTTAGCACTTGGGTCCGTTGTGGAAACACTTCTGCAGCTACACAAAGTCTTCTAAACAAACTAGTCCACGCCCTGGCTCCAGGCTGGGGCCCCGGGATATTCACAGAATGTGGCATCAGGCTCTGACCCGGGAGCAAGAGGTCAGGATCCACAAAACAGGCTGGATGAAATCACCACCCCCGTGCAGGGAGGTGCAGAGAGCTGAGCCCTCCCTGCCAGTCTGGCAACTCCAGCAAAGCCCGCAGAGTTCATCCCACACACTCGGTGCTAGTCACTGCCGTGTGTTTACATGAGTAATGGAGCTGCCGGGGGAGGGGAATTGTAAGCAGAGCGCTGAGCCTGGCAGCTCGCATTCGGAGAGAAGCTGACATCCACGCCGAGTGGAGACTTCCAGGGAAGTGGCCGGGGCGCAGTCACATGCTGTAGCTTTCATGAGCACAGACATCCATCAGGCAGATGTTTGTCGACTGGAATGGGTAATCGCTACTTTCTCTTTGCTTGATTTTGTTGGGGGAGTTTGTTTACCTTTTGATCATTCCAGGCTAGCTTTCTGGGATGGAATTTTCAGACCCAAAGCTTTAGGGAAGGAGCGGACAGCGGGTCTGGGATGGGAACCTGAGCCCCAAAGCTGCTTTTTAAACTTTTGTCTGATTGTAAAGGCAGCCTGGCTTACTGAGCTTTACCAACAGCAACTGTTATCCACAGGACAAAATCAAATGAGTAGGGTTGATGGTGATTGTAAAATGTACAATGTCAAATGCTCTAAAAGCCCCCATTGTCTGGGGGACATAAGTAACAGTAACAACAGTTAAGAGGGCTTGTGTTGTTCAGAGATGACGTTGTCTTAATCATCCCTTAAAGTGATAAAAAGTGTGGGAACCTCAAACGGTCGGAAGGAAATTGGGGTGTAATTCATGAGTCTGAGTCGTTCAGAAGTTGGTTGGTTAGTTGGTTAGTTTTAATTTTGACTTGGTGACTGCTGAAGTTAAGTGTGCCGGACCATCACAGCTCTCAATAAACAGCAGCTTCTCCGTCCTGCTTTCCGTATGGATCTTAAAAGCAGTCAAACTCCGCAGCCAGGATGGATTAGAACTTTGATTTGTATCTTGTGTACAGCCTTTCAAAAGTGTAACCCTAAAGGGATTGGGCTAAGAACAGTGTAATCTTCGAGGGTTATTTTAAATTACCCTCAATATCTTTATAAAAAAAATATACTGAAAAGGAAAAAAGAACTTGCTGATTTCAATGTATCTGCCAGATTTGTTGAGATTTAAAACGTGCTGGTCATAATATTATTAGTAAGTGCGTATAATAATGTTTTCCAGCTTGTTATTGAGAACGCCTCTTTTTAGCTCTCTACTTATCTGTATGGCAATTTGAGAAAAGGCTCTAGTCTCCAATCACTTTCAAAGAGAGATGTTTTCCGGCGTTACATTACTATGATACTTGAATGGGCTGGCATATTACTTAGGTTTCTGAAAACAAGATACAAACAACAACAACAAAAAAAACAAAAACAAAGAATGAAATAGAAGCCTGCAAGCCTGGTTCAGGGTTATCTTTCAGCCCCAAAATGCTTCATTTCTAACCATGGGGAAGGGCATTTTCCTTATCATCATTCTGTATAGCTGTAGGCTTCATTTTGCTTAATTAGATGTGTTTAAGTATGCTAGCCTCACGTTGGAAAACATTTACAGAAGTGTCCCTCTACCAAGGTGCCACCTTCAGAAGAGAGAAATACGTGAAGAGGGTTGCCTACCACAGAGATGCGTGTTTCTCTGAACTATTAGAGGAGACTCCTGTCTAAAATGCTGGGTCTTTAGTAAGTAAACCCATGCAAATGAAAATGTGTATCAATTATTCTCCATTTGTTTTCAGCGCCAAATCTTAAAGGCAGACCACGCAAAAAGAAACCATGCCCACAAAGAAGAGATTCATTCAGTGGTGGTGTTAAGGATTCCAACAATAATTCCGATGGCAAAGCCGTTGCCAAGGTACAGTCATTCACTCCGTGGTATTCATTTTGCTGCGTCTTTTTATTTTTCTTTCCTCTTTATCTCTGTGCTCTTGTATCTTGGGTCAGTTTTCAATTCAGAATGTGACTTTGGAATTCAGAGCTTTTGAAGTTCTATGCTGCATCTGTTCCTGCCACCTCCTCTCCTCCAGTGGCTGGGGGTGGGGGGAGGTAGGCATTTTGATTACTCAACAGAAAGACTCCCCACCCCCCAGTTCAGCCTGTTGGGTAAAGGACAGATGATTAAGTGCCTACGTCATTGAGGCTGAGATTTCATAGTAGGTGACACAATGACATAGTTTACTCTGCTTGTATCAAAAATAAACCAGCTGAACCATCCTCTTTCTGAATGTGTTCATCTAAGGATGCTTCAGAGATTAACAGAGGATGAAATTAGAAATGGCTAGAATTAATCTTTTTAGGTATGTACTCTTCAAAGTCACCTCTAATTTATACTGGAGTAGAATTAAAGAAACAGAGAACTATTTATGTGTATACATATATGTACATATACACACTTATGTGGTTTTACAGATTCCTGTTAATATAGAAAGTCCACATTCTAGTCTGTTTTTCAGGCTCCAAGTCCATTTTGCCTAAGCATTCTTTGGATTCCTGAAAGTACGTGCCTGAAGTATTTTCCACCATGAAGGGCCGAAGTGTCACTTCATATTTTTGGACTTATCTTTTTCACTGTTGAGAGATAGGGTCAGATTTCCATGGTTTCCAGATTTCCATGTACTGGCTGATTGCATTTTCATGATATTTCTGTGCCAAGGACAGTAATAGTCCCTCTAGGACTTGAAGAATAGATTTCAACTGATACCTGATTTTCAGATCCAGGAAATAAAGTTCTGAACATGGGAGCATTTGGGCTAGGGATAGATTTGGAAGATCTTGATGTAGGAGAAAAAAAAGTTGTGTTTTGACAATCTACTATTTGTTTGCCATGCACCCCACCCCCTCCCAGGGTAATGAAATAAATTTGAGGCATTCACATTCTTTAAATCTTATCTGCAAGTATGATTATTTCATTCAGAAGTTCTGGGACATTTTGGTTAGGATTTCTTCATGCTTCCAAGATTCTGAAGGCTAAAAGGAGGTCAACCAGAAGAAATGTATATTTTCCATTTTCTGGATAAAAACAGATCTATCTTTTCCCAAAAGTTGCTTTTGTTCTGTTCATTTTATCTTCTGTGAGTGAGTCCATATGGGTCCCATGAACCGAACTACATTTTCTTATAAGTTGGATATCTCAACCCTGGATGTATCTACCTGGGTCTTCAGTTTCCATGGTGGGACATTCTTCCCTGTGGCATGGTTTGCAAATTCATCCAGCAGAATGGAGCAGGATGTTTCAGGACAGTGACACTGAGCAAAACTTGTAGTTGGTGTCCAGCCCACACCTCTAGGGTGACATCATGCATTTATGCCAGCATCTTCTGTACCTGATCCCAGCAGGGGAAAGCTCCTTCCCATGTCATTTGGAGACACTACCAAGATATGCCTCTGGGGATTTTACAAAACTCAGCCAATTGATCTAAAAGCACAATACCTTCAGTGCTTTCCTCCATGGAAGACAGCTCAGGACTCACCAACTGAGAAAGGAGACTGTTCTACAGATGGGCTGTATTCAACATGCATTGACGTGTCCTCCTTCAGAAGGGTAGAAGTCAATCCATGGGTTCCTAAGTACCCCTTCACCCACCTCCACTGCTGCCACCCTCAGAATCTTTACAAGGAGATGGGTCATCCTTCTCTGCTGCTGTTCAGTGGTGAGTGGAGGAATGTTACATGGAGTCAACTCCCAGGGACTGGCCTCAGGGCTCAATTCTTTTCAGAGACTTGGATTACAGTACTTGCTGTGACCATTTCCAGTGGGTCTGGAGAGACTACTTCAACTAGAAGAAGAAAACAAAAAAAGGGTAGTATGAAGGTTGGCGAGCCTGTTTATTGGCACCAAAAGAGAGAAGTAAAATTCCCGTGGAATGAGCAAGCCACATCTAGAACCAGCACAGCCATTAACAAGGCATCTGTGTCTTAAGGTGGTCTTTCCTCCATGAAATTCTCCAGTAATTATTATGAACCTGTGACCCTCTGATCATTTGCTCAACTGGAAGTGACACCTGAGGTGACAGTGAGCTATTTGACTTTATGACCAAGATTTGCCTTACACAGACCATGGCTAGCTATAGGGAAGTACCAGCTTCCTGCTGCTCCACACGGCAGAGCTCTAGAAGTGGGACCCACTGGTTTGTTGTGTCCATGGGGAGAAAAACAAGTCAAGTAACCTGCCTGTCGCCATTGAAAGGTTGCACTCTCTCAGTGTGAACATGTAAAGTAGCTTTGCAAGACCCTGTTTTCTAATGGAAAGATAATGTCCTGACTTCCATCAGCCAATGTCACATGGAGAGGAGATGAGGAGTTCTCCAAAGGCATCGTGAATGCATCCAGCCCAAATCCTGCTGTTGCCTTGTGATCATTTTCAAGCAGCAGTTTTGGAGTCCAGACCTGTTCAGAGGGCATCTATCTATCCATGTATTAGTGAAATCTTCTTGGCCTGGGTCTCTAATGAAAGGCCTATATTGATAGAAGGCAAATGATTTCTCATATCCTGCAAACATTTTCCAGAGGTGTCTAGCAGGTGGATTATATCCTAAAGTGAATGTAAAAAAGGAAACCACAATTGCTGTATGTCCTTTCGTGTAAATCACAAACATACTTTTGGCATTTCCCAAATGTGATATTTTGATTATTTTTAATAGTTTCCATTGTAACTGGTCCTCAGAACTACCCTCAAGGATTAACCTTCTAACTTTACTGAGGAAAACATGATGGGTTACCTAGCTAGTTAGTAACCAAACCAAGATGAGAACTCTAATTTCTTTACTGCAGATTCAGCACATCTTGCTGCCCAGTTGAAGGCTGGATTAGTTATAACTCAATCCCGTGGAAGGATGTGGTTAATATAAAATAGGTGGTGGTTCATTGAAGACGTTAAATGTTGATTCTTTAATTAGCACTTCCTCAATCACTTTGGAAACCCCAGAGAGCTGAGTGAACTCAACAGGTGTATAGTGTTCAGGGAAAAACAGATCTAGTAATTAACTGTCACTATCAAAAGGTTGGGCTTGCTCAAGGTCAGAGTGAAAACTAGCTTTCATTTCCATTAACATCTGTACTATAATAATTCAGCAGACTAAAACACTGAGGATGTTTTGGTAAATGTGAAAAAAAAAATGTAGGAAGGAACTTGATGTGGTCCTACCCAGAGACAGAATAATATTCTTTTTTTTTAAAAAAAAAAAAAAAAAAAAAAAGAATTTTGCTTAGGATGCATTTGCTTGCCAGATTGACTGAGAGAGACAGAGCGACAGAAAGCAAGAAATCACCCCCCACGGGGAGATGGCCATGCTTCAATCCCTTCTCCTCCATTCTCCTCTTGGGATTTTGGGCACACACACACACGTGCCCAGTGTGAGTTTTGAGCCTCCAGGTCTGGGACTCAAACCACTATCAACTATGTGGGAGTCCAGCGATTTAACCATTACGCCATCTGCTGGTTCCAGAGTAATATTCTAAGGAGCTCATTTATGTTAACTAAAAAAAAAAAAGCATCAAGCCAATCTGAAAAAGGAAGCCACTATTTCTTGAAAGTTTATTTATTTATTTTGGGTGACAGAGAAAGACCCCATGGTGCAATTCTCTCTCCCATCTTCCAGCCAGCCAGGATCGTGGGTACACCTGACACATTCGGGTTGACTTGGGAAATGAATTCCCATATGGCTCCAATACAAAGTAGTGGTGCCCTGCCACCTGCACCACTGCACCCAGGCTCTCTCTCCCTGTTTATTCCTTGCCAAATACTTGGTCTTACAGAGTCAGCATGCTTGACGCCCACTGAAATTCAGGACAGAGTTCAGTAGGGGGCAGCCTAGAAGCTGAGGTTCTGAATCACTTTGGACCTGGCTTGTGCATCCCCTCCATCTTTCCCTTTATTTCTGGAGGTTGCTACACATGTGAGGCAAAGGCAGCTGTCTAGACACAGAAGAACAAACCTCCTACTATGACCTGAACGGTGGGGCTTCTGACATCCTGATTTAGATATCCTTATCACTGTAAATGTATAGGGAGAAATACTATAAACACTATGAATATTACTATAAACACCACAAATATTACTATAACACTATAAATACCATTATCCCTATAAGTTTAAAATTCATTCTGTTTCTTGCCCAAGCTCTTGGTCTACTCAGATCTGTACAGGATTGGAGTTAGAGTGAGGCAGGCCTGAGTTGCAAACCCTGAGGCCTGCTTCTCTCTGGTCATCTGTTATGAGACGTGGCCTTGCCAGTCTTCCGTTTTCTTGATTGTCAAGTGGGGTTAAATATCAGCCTTTGATGGTTCTCTCTCTCTTTTTTTTTTTTTTTTTTTTTTTTTGAGAAGTTTTAAATGTTTTAATCCCACTTCCACAGTCCCTTAAAAATTAAAAATCTTGGGGTCTGCAAGTAGTATGGTGGTTAAGGCATTGGAGTCCTGCATGTCCTACCACAGTTTGAGTCCTGGGTCTGGCGGTTAGCTTCTTTACTTTCTCTTTCTCTGGCTCTCTGGTCAAATTAAAAAATAATAATAATAAATAAAATTAAATAATTCTTTTACAAAAATTAAAATAGAATCTAGAGGTTCCGTTGAATTAATTAGGCAGGAAGTTTTAGTTTTCCAGGAGAAGGCTAAAGAAATTAAGTTAGTGTGTTCACTCAAGAGAATAAACCTGTTACAGAGGACACACTTCCCGTTAATAAATAAGCAGTAATCTTTTAGTCTTCATGTTTGGGAAGGAGGCTCTGCAGGAACAGAAGAAGGGTTCAAAAATCTGAAATGGAGGAATGCTGTAAAAAATATGTGGGACATTCTTATTCATAACATTTCCCAGCACTTGCCCTCTTCTCTCCCGATGTTAGATACGGAGATGTAAAGAGTATCGGAATGTACACATTCCCCATGGGCACACTTGAACTCAAAGTCTGACCCTTTGTACTTCCCCCTTTTACAATTAAAATAGCTCAGCAACTTAGTGTTATATTTAACAGCCATCAAAGGCCTTCTTGTAGAACATGGCAGAGAGGAGGGGACGTTAGGTTAGCCGCTCAATATGCCGAACTCCATATCCGCCTGGAGTGTGGAAGGAAGACTATCTGGAGCGTTTGACACCATTTCTTTTTAAATATCTGCCTGAAGTGTGGAAGGAAGACTGGAGCGTTTACCACCATTTACTTTTTAAATATGGAGCGTTTCACTTACCCTCCTCGAGTTGTTCGCTGACCTCTACTTTGTGTGTGTGTGTGACAAGTTAACATCTCCTATTGTATTCCCAGGGTGGACTAAAAGCAAGACGCCCTCAGTAAAGAGTGGGATCTTTTGTTTTCTACCATGGGTATATCTCAGCGTCACCCTGGGTGACCGACAGCAGTGACCTTGCTGGTTTTTCTGATGCCAGCAAAGGCTGGCATCCACATACTTTTCCACGTTGCTGGAGAGAGTAGCAACGAGATAAGTTGACCATAAATAAATAAACTTGCATTTCATTTTTATAAAAAGTCTAAAATGTGGTACTACTCATTAAGAAGGCAGAGTTTGTTCAAGGACATTAACTGATGTGCCCTTTAGGAAAAGAAAAGGTATAAAGAGGCAGAAGAATGTTCTTGCCAGATGCAAATATTATTTCTGGTTTCACTTCAACAGACTTGTAAGGTGTCTTAAAGAAGCTGGCAGTGTGGCAAACTAGGGCCTAGTGGCCGCCTGTTTCTGTAAATAAAGTTTTATTGGAACACCGCCATGCCCATCATTTACATATTACTTCTGACCACTGTGGTGCTGGAGTTGAGTAGTCACAAAAGAGACAGTATGGGGGACAGGGCACGTGGCACAGCAGTAAAATCTGATACTCTGAGACTGACCTTGTGGGATGGTCCTCAGTTCATGCCTGTAGACTTCCCTGAATACCCTGCACGCACACTCATCCATGATCCTGGGGACTGGCTGAGACTGGAAATGGATCGCAACATCAAGAAAACTGTGCTGCCCCAGAGTCTACAGTATTTACCATGTGGCCCTTTGTAGAAGTTTCCCGTCTGCTGGTCTGAGCCAATTCATACTCACTGTGGCCTCTAAAAAGCTGTTAAAAGCAGGGATAATTTGGGAACCAGCAAGTGGTGTAACAGTTATGTCATTGGACTCCCAAATAGTCCACCATGGTTCGAGTCCCAGACCCGGCGCTTAAACTCATGCCAGGTGTGTGTGTGTGTGTGTGTGTGTGTGTGTGTGTGTGTACCTAAGATCCCAAGAGGAGAATGGGGGAGAAGGGATTGTGGTGTGGCCATCCCTCGTGGGAGGGGGGAGGGAGATTTCTTGCTTTCTACCTCTCTCTGTTTTTTTCACATGTACCCTAGAACAAAACCTCTCTTAAAAAAAATAAATAAATAAATTCAAAAAAACTTTTAAAAAGCAGGGATAATTTACAGGTTGATCCTTACTGCCCAGTGGAAAATGTCACTAGCTCTGTCTGTAAGCATTCCCAAGCTGTGCCTGATGTGACATGCCGTATTCTCCCTTTTCCAGGTGAAATGTGAGGCCAGGTCAGCTTTGACCAAGCCGAAGAATAACCATAATAACTGTAAAAAAGTTTCAAATGAAGAAAAACCAAAGCTCGCCATTGGTGAAGAGTGCAGGGCGGACGAGCAGGCCTTTTTGGTGGCTCTTTATAAATACATGAAAGAAAGGAAAACACCCATAGAACGGATACCCTACTTAGGTTTCAAGCAGAGTAAGTATATTTGTTTTATTTCCGAAATCTCAGAACTGCTCAAATGCTTTCAGTTGGGGAAAAACAAGATTGATTTGAGATTATGTTGAAATCCTAATCTGGGGATAGTCCCCTCTGTTTATTGTAGAGCTACACATTGTCCAAGCCAAGAATTTTTCCCCTGCCTCTTTCCGCTACATTGTTTCCTTCTGGGACAGTCTCAGTGAGATATTTATAGGCTCGAATCCACTGATTATGACTGGAAATAGACATGTTGAAAGTGTCTCATTTTCTGTTTTGTCAATCTTGAGTGTCTCTAATGCTGCTCTTGTGAGATAATAGTATGACGTAGCTTTATCAGGCACAGATGTTGCCTGTGAAAGACGACATTTAAAGGTGGACAAAACAACCACAAAGAGAAAACTTTCCTAAACCCCAGATTGGTGAAAAGATAACCAAAAAATCTGACTTCAGACTAGACAAGAAACACGCAGATTTGAACAGAGGGACCAGTTTTGAATTACTTTGACATGCACATTGAAATGTAAGTGTCATCGTCTATTTGTAAGTAGAACAGGGAACTCAAAGTGAAGCAGGATTTCATATAAAAAGAGAAGAAATCCAGATCCTACCCTGATTTCACAACTGAATATATATTTTGCCTCTGTCTGGATTAGTGGCGCATAAAGTGATGAACCCCTGGCTTGAAATAGTGTTTTCTCCAAATGCATCTTCCTAGATTAAAACCATGTGTCATTTTGATGAAGAATGTCAAACCTGTATGTTTTACATAACAATTTACATACCTAATAGCAATTGGCACTGATTGCAAGAGAACACTTGCAGCCATTATAAACTTATATAACTACGAATGATTACAATGTTTGTCTGAAAACTGGTTGCTTGAAATAGAAGTAAAATTAATGTACTATGAACAGCTTTGTTGCATTATGCATTGGTTCAGATTAAATCAAGGCCGAGGCAGGGCTCTCGCTAGCTTTGAAATAGTGCAAGGTTCAATGAGGCTTTGCGAACATGTTGTGTCAAAGAACCTTTTTTTTTTTTTCTTTTTTAAATTTTCATTTTATTCTTCATTTCCCTTACAAAGGAATTACTTGGAGATTGAATTTTACTCTCTTGTAAAAGAATCAAATCCATGGCAGTCCTATTCCATGGTTTTTGGTGCAATCGAACAGGGTTGCTGGCAATTTGGCACAGTTATTTAACAGCATAAACATATGCAAACCCTGCAAAGAGAAATCTGTTTGAAAAAAATGTATCTGCAACATGACACAGGCAACTTAGGGGACTAACCAGGCTCATGACTCAATTCCTCTGTGAATAAACATCTTCCTTCCCTTTGAGCTGTTGTGTCACAGCTGCCTCGCAAGTGAAATAGGTTTTCTTACTCATTGCAAGGCACCCCATGTTAGCGAAATACCGTCTGAGCCTTTCATGTAGTGCTGCCATCAGACATTCTGTTGAGAAGGTATCATATATTAAAGTGGCTGTTATTTATTTATTGATGATGGAACATTCTTATCTGGAGGAAGCATTATATATTACCATCTAATCAATGGCCTCTTTCTGAGTGTTGAACAAGACCAACTTACAATTTTGAAATCTCACCCTTTTTCCCAAGGACACTCTTCTTTTGTTGTGCTGATGGCAACAGGACTAAAACTGTGTTGTCCTTTATCTGAAAAGTAGAACCATTTTTGTAGTTTTGTGACAGTTTCTTAAGAAATATTTTAAGTGGTAATATTAGATCCTGCTCTTGAATGCCCTTGGGCAAATTGTTTCCTAAGAACTTAACTCTCTGGGGTCCACTAGTATTTTTTTTTCCTTTTTCTCTTTCTCATTAAAAAAAAAAAAAAAAAAACACAGAATGTTTTAATTGACATTTCTTGGAAATATGTTAATGCAATGCTTATCTAAATACTTATTGTCCCTCTAACAGTTAACCTTTGGACTATGTTTCAAGCTGCTCAAAAACTGGGAGGATATGAAACAGTAAGTGTTTAAGCAACTTAAATGAAATAATTTTGCAATCTAACTTTCCCCCTCTCTTTGACTAAAATGGAGAAAATGAAAAAGCAAACCGTCATTGACTGCCTTTGCAAATGGCTCTACACTTTTGGGGGTTTATTGGGCCGCTTTTGGAAACAATCCCAATTAGTTCCAGGTTTGGCAAAATTGTAAACTTGTCATAAAAACTACAAGTGGAAAACATATGTAACTCTCCCCTGTCAGGGAAATTAGTTGGGTCTGTAATTTTTTCCCATGTTGAGAAAGGGCTATTATTGTACAACAAGCCAAGATTGCATAAAAGAAATTTCCCTTGGCAACATACCTGACATCTGTTCATGTCTAATATGGGAAATGTATTAAAGGCTTTCAAAAGTAATCAGTATTGGCCATTAAGGAATAGAATGCAGCAGAATCTCCTCTCATTCTAGGGCAAAGAAGCTTTATTAGACAAGGGTCAGTGCTGCATAAACAGGAAGTTATCAAACTTGCTCAGAACAGACTCTGACACTCTTTATCAGCTAATTCTAACTGACAGGAACGGGTTATTTTTAGCCTACAGGAAAATTTGATGGCCACGGATTTTTACAGCATGTATTTTGAAGCAATAAAATGTTAGAGCAACAAGCTAAGATTAAAATCTTGAAATAAGAAGAAAGAGCTACATTAAGATAACACACAGAGATGACATCTGTAATAAAATCAATTGACATAGGAAGATGTCGTCACTGGAAATATTTTCTCCTCCACACAATGATCAGATTAAGTCTCGCAGTTTCTTTTGCAATCGAATAAGAAATTATTGTTCTTTCCTTACACAGTAATCTGGGATATCTCTGTACCATAGGAAAATGACAGTAAGAGACACAAAGTCAAGTAAATGAAATTCATTTAGCCCAAACATAATAACCAGTGTTTCTTGCCAGATAAAGCATAAAGCATATTGTTCCCCAAACTAATATAATGGTTTGATGTCAAGGGCTTGGGATGGGAAAAGATGGCAAGTGTTGTGTGATTCAAATAATCTAGTATTTACTGCAGAGATATGTGCTATGAATTCTGAGTAAGAATTTTTTGATGCAAACATACATGCATGTAAAGTGTTTGATATATGGGCATATACATTTGTGTTTATGAGGAAATATACTTATATGAACCATATATATAATATGCATTTCTTACACATGAATTTACATGCAGTCTTTGTTTTATTGAGTGCCCTATATAAAAATAAATATGGTAATTTTTCACTTGGTTGAGCCTGTTGATAGGACCAGGATATGACTCCTTGGCACTATAGTTTTGTGCACCCTTGTGCTAATTATACTTTCATCCATTTTAAAAAGATGATAACTTACTCACTGTTAGTCTCATAAATTTAGGCATCAATCCACAGCCTAGACTTTTAAGTCTAACTTTTAATGTTAGGAATAGGAATACACATTTTTATGAACTGTGACTACAGATAGTTACATGGTGTTGCACAATATTATGAAATCTCTTTTTAAACTCAGGAACTATTTGTTTTTCACTGATAGGAAGTGTGCCAGCGAATTTCACAGAATTAGTTTTTCCTGCTTTTGTATCTTCTGCATCTTCACAAAGATATTTTCCCCCACGCAACAGCAAGTTGGTGTAGAATGTACAGAAGAAATTTCTGATAAGTTTCAGGGAATTTGCAAGTGCTCTTTGAACAAAATGTATTCATTCTTCTGTTGAAATACATGGCCTCACAAGCATCAGATCACCTGATCACATATCTACTGAATATCTTGTGTTGTACAGGCATTGTGTTAGACCCGATGAGAGATGCAAACTATCCAGCCCAGTGGTTCCAGTACTTAAGTTGTTTTCTATTCAGTACAGGCAGTAATTATGAGATAAGGTGGAAAAGATCAGTGTCCTGGACAGGTGAAGTATTTCCTCATGTAAAGACTGGCTCTGATTCCATTTTAGCAGAACCTAGGGGAACGGGATGGAATTTGGACATGAATGATCATGGCCTTCCAGAAAGAGAATGAATCTGAGATGGGTTGGACAAGCAACATGAAAGGGAGTCATCAGAGAAGGATAGAAGAAGATGGTGCCAAATGAGGAAGGCTAGGCTTTTGCATGCCAGGCCCAAGTGATTCAACAGGCAGTAGGAGGCCTCAGAAGGTTGTCAGTTCCCCATGTCTAGTAATAAGGGCTCTTCTCTTTCTGGTATGGGGTAGGGTGCTGGTATCTTCAAAAAGGGACATTTATGCCCAGTTTTAGGATAGACATGGGGAAGTCAGAGAACTGTTACTATGTCTGTTGGTTCTCAATTGCTTTTGGCTTGAAATAACCCTTATGCCAACGTGGCATATTCGAGAGAAGGTATATTCTGATCCCCTTCTGTGGGGTAAGTGAATATGGGAGACCAGATTCGCATCCTCCCTCATTTTGGTTATGAACAGTATTTTTAAAGAAATTCTTCCTTCTTCTCTTCCTTCTTCCTCCTTTCCTTTTTCTTTTCTTTTCTCCTTTTCTTTTTCCTTTACTTTCTACTATTCTTCCTCCCCCCAACAAGCCAGAGGGCACACATGCAGGAGAAAGAGAAAGCAGTCCCTAATGGGGGTTGGTCATGCCACAATAATTTTTCATGCAGTTCTCTATCTTGTCTTAATTCTGGAGGCATGTCTGTGCCTGGCATGTTTTTCAATCTGTTTGGACTGGGATTTGAACCCCGTTGGGCCAATTGGGATCTGCCTTGCTTTGTGCAGAGTTTACCTGCTGTGCAATGGGGACAATCCTCTCTTTAGAGGTTTCATGCTCCCTACTGGCACTTAAATTCACCTATTCTACATTTAAGCTTTCAAACCTTTTAAATATAGACTGCATTTTCCTTCTTGGCATATTTTGACTAATAAAATGGTAAGATAGTGTGTGAAGGTTTAATTTTCAAGTCAGTTCATTAGACGTACAAGTAATACCCAGCATCTGGGGACTGAAGTTGTCATCAGTTACTAGAGGATACTTATCTGTCAGATTATCTGCTATCAGAAACAAGTATAGACTTACAGTCACCTGGACTTTACAGCCTTCCAGATCAGTGACTCCCAAAGGCTACTCAAAAACTGGGACTCAAGGTTTCAATGGAGAACTTTAAGATATAGTAGTTGTGTAAACCCCTCCGCCCCCTTGCTATAAGATATAAATTCTGCAGTGGGGCCCAGGTCTGAAAACCAGAGACTTCCTTTCTTTTCAGCTGGCCAGGTGAGCTCACAGAAAGCCAGTGATTATTAACACTTAACTTACTTCCATCTATGGCTGCTGGCTTCGCATGTGGCCCCCATCTAAGTCAAGTATCAAAGATTAGAAATTTGTCTTTCTATTATATACACATGCTAGAATGTGAGCATATCCTTGGCTGAAGAGAGGCAAAGAGTTTCTGACTTGGATTTTTCCATTTGGTAAAGTGGTAGTCTAAGTTAGGACTCAGTAAACTATTTTCATTTTGAATGAGGGAAAGTGTAGCATGCTAGCATTTTAATTTTTTCAGAATTGGCCTTTGTGCAAAAAAAAAAAAAAAAAAAAATAGGATTCTTGCTCTGCTCCAGTTCATATCCTCACTTTATAAATGAGAAAATTTAGGCACAGGGAGGTGAAATGACTTGCATGGGGTCATCATAGCAGTCTTCCAGTTCTGACTTGCAGAGAATTTTGTACACAATTTTCTCAACCTCCATAGCCTCACTCTGAGGAAAGAGATTCATAAATGACTTTTATTTGTGCCTCCCTTTCCCAGTATTCTTTTATGGATCCAGAATGCTTTCTGCATATTTTGGGTGATGTTTCATAAAAAGGATCTAATAACCTATGTTTGTTAGTAACATCTTTCAGTATATTCTTTGTAAGTAACATGAGTCTTACCAGATGTAAAAATCTCTGATTTTTATCTGGTTGTTTAGAGAAAAAAAAATTTTATTTGATTTTTTTTATCTGATTCTTGAGACCAAAAAAGTGTGAGTGTAGGAAATGGGTCAAGAAATTTGGATAATACAAGTATTCAAGAAGAGTGGAAAAAAAACCCTGCAAGTATAAAATTTGTAGATGTATTGCTTCTCCTGTTAACTTGTGATTGGATAAAGACATCTCTCTGGAATCCCTTCTTGTTATAAAAAGAGGCCATCTTAATTGGCTTGTTTTTCTTTGTGGTTATAAACTATTCCAAACCTTCTGGTTTGAATTGCGGATTATGGATTATTTCATTTCAGTCCTTCACAACCCTCAAATTGAATTTCAAAAAAAAGAAATAGGAGCAGAAGTTTTATTTTAAGCCTTTATAGCATTTGACTAATGCTTATATACAATTCCCTCAGCCTCCTCTGTCCTAGCTGGAAATATATAGTGTGTTCTTTCTTTGCTTTTGAGATCATAAATGTATTGAATGGATTTGATTTCCTAAAAAACAATATTCTGGCATTTTGGTTGTCAGTGAGGAGCCTTCCTTTGCAATTATACACTCAACTTTTCCTCCCAAGCATTAGTAAAATATGGCTCACCTATAGATGAAGAGGTAGAGTGGGATGGAGTTTTACTGATGAACTGAAGAGGGCTTCACTTCAGTGTCTGGTGAAGCAATTAATTCTGGGAAAGTAGCTTGGGATATTACCAGGATGCAGCATATTGAGGGAGGTTTGCTAAAGTGATTTCCATTTGGCTAACCATTTGATGGCAAGCCAGAGGCAATATTTGGAGAGAAGGGAGAGTAGGGAAATGGGTCTTAAATAAACCTTATCCTAGAGGCTGGGATGATGCACAATGGTCCCTTCTAAGAATATCAGTTTGCAGGTCCTAACCTTCCTAATGGTGAGACGGAACCATTGTTTTCATCTAGAAGAAGAAGTCACCTCTTCTTGCTTGAAAGCTTAGGCCTTTACATGAAATTCTGGCTTTGACATCATTTTCAAGACAACTTTTGAATCTAACCCTAGTTCTCTGGACAAAGCCTCTTGCTTAAT